AAAACTTTCGCGTTATAAACAAATAGTTGTCAAAAACACACTAATTGACCTTTATGGATCAAACTTCATACGAACATAAAAAGCTTGTACTAATTCATGAAAAAAAAATAAAAAATATCGATTAGGCGGTACCCGCAGTTTAAATGCACCAGTCCTAGTAAAATTTTATCACATGATTTACTTATGCTCAGCGTTTGCTGTTCAGCTGTAAATTTGGAGCTATGGGAAGTGTTTTCATGACAGAAATACCTACTTTCAGATATATTGAATGATAACAGCGACGGTCTTTATAAAGAATTATATTTTTTATTGCTGATTTGGTAGAAACTAAAATTGTTTGTTGTCTCGGTTGCACAGAAAATACGGTAGTTCTTGAAGTCGTGAAAGAAAGCAGATGAACATAACATCGACTCGGACCACTATATTGTCGTAGCAAAAGTACTCGCCCGCCCATGTACAGTACAGCTCGCCCGTCCAAAAAACATAAGAAAGGTGCGAATATACGAGGTGTGTTCAAAAAGTATCGCGAATTTTGTGTTTTTTTCAAAAATTATTTATTTATTCATGAATATCTATTTTGTACCCTTCAAAGTAATCCCCACGAGATATTATACACTTGTGCCAACAGTTTTTCCAATCTTCGAAGCACTTCAAAAAATCATTTTTTTTTTTATCTTCTTCAGCTCCTCCTTCGATGCCGTCTTTATCTTGTCGTCCTTTCATGGGCCTCTTCAGTTTAGGAAACAAGAAAAAGTCACAGGAGGCCAGATCTGGGGAATACGGTGGCTGCGGCATCATTAGTCCTAAAAGTCGCGCACAAGAAACGATGTGTGAGTAGGGACGTTATTGTGGTGCAAAAGCCAATTTTTGTCACATCATCTCGGCCTTCTGAGAACATTTTGTACCACCGATAAACGTTGCTTCGGTCCAAGGTAGCTTCTCCGTATGCCACAGTCAACATTCGGAATGCAWCCGCGCACTTAATTTCGTTTTTCACACAAAATTTGATACAGGTTCTTTGATCCATTTTTTTGAATAGGTAAAAATCGAAGACGATCCAAAACACGTGCAAGCAAAGCAACTGTCAACAATTAAATGAACATTCAAAATGGCCGAGCTTGTCGGCATAAGTGAGAGACATGAGTACGAACATAACGCCACAAAAAATTCGAAATTCGCAATACTTTTTGAACACACCTCGTACAGCTGGTATGAAGAGGATTGTCGTGTCACAGTAGACAGAAAACAAGTTGAAGAGAGAAGCGAAACGAGATGTCGACAAAAAAAGAAAAAGGCCAAAAGGCCTCGAAAATTCTACGATAATATGCGGCGACCAACAGAAGGTTTCAAGGCCGGAGCATACTCTTGTGGGAGGAAAGTGGTGATCTAGTGGCTCATGTTCAGAGCATACTGAAGTTGTAAGGGGACCCGCCAATTACCGTGGGATAAGTCTCCTTAATATTGCATATAAGGTCTTATCGAGCGTAGTGTGTGAAAGACTGTAGCCAACCGCCAAAAAATTTACAATCGACCTGATTTTCATCATGCTTCCATCAAAGAACCGTGAAAGGAAGATCGACAAATACCTCATCTTCGATTTAAAGCCGCCCTCGGCAGCATGGCAAAGTACTGCCTTTATACCACTATGTCGGTGACATTAAGCAACACCAAAAGCTAGGTTCGCGCAGAACCTCTCCGAGCCGTTCGATATCAAGTGAGGTTTCAGACAAGTTGTGTGACTTCTTCAATCTTTGAGAGATAAGTTTTTCCAAAGGTTTATGATCCCTTGTGCACTAGCAACAGCGAGAACCGCAGTCGATGGAATGATTAGCTGTGTGTGATATACGACAACATTGACATAGTTCAGCGAATCAAGAGACAGCGGGTGTCTAGATCATGTTGTCCGGGTGGAAGATAGCATTCCAGATTTTATTGCCGGAACTGCCAATACGCTATAGCATATAGCTGTCAATCAGACAGATCGATCGAAATCAAGGTCTTATACGAAATTTTTTTATTTGTGAAGGTATTTTATTAGTTCAATAAGGTAGTATGGAGGCCTTCTTCACTAATTTATAGGGCTGATTATTAACAAAACCCAAAATAAGTGAACTGAAAATAATATGGAGAGCCAGATAAATTTTATGAGTAAATAAAAGGTCCTATTGCTTGTCATCAAAATCCGCGTTATCTTACCACAAAGCTTAATGATGATAAAAGTTCCACTCGAAATTTATATACAGATGTGTATACATACATATGTTCACATGTATACCAGTATACAGCGAGGTCCGTGCTAAATATGTACATGAACATATGTTCGACGAAAAGTCATTGACGTTCAGAGATTTACTTCCACTTTAATTGTGTTGAATGAAGCAAGAGAAGTGGACAAAAGCCGACCACAATGATCGAATTGAACAAATGACTTCTGTGTATACATATTGTTTATCTAATTTAATGGCACCATAAATGCCAAACACATACGCACACACTATTTATTTACATCGCAGATATTTATTTCAATGCGAAGATTTAAAGAGCCGCACCGATGTTGCAGGCCATTCAAGTTAAATTACACTTTTCCATATATAAGTTTATATATATGTATATAGGAACATAAACATGAGCGCTTTTGTGCAATAACACAAAGAGTGAGTCCACAAAAAGGTTAATACCACCGCAAAGTGCGGAAAGTGGCACTAATGATGCTAATTACAGCAAATGGAAGGCTATTGCAAAAACACCAGGGTATTATTTATTTAACGCACTTATTTATATGAATGAGTGTGTATGTGTGTGTATGTTTATATATGCATGCTATGAGGAACTCGTGTTGGCCTCCAGATATGAGAATAAATGGCGTGGAAGAAAAACTCATCAACAGCATTTATTTATTTTTCGTGTGCAACTGGCGAAACTCCACCAATAGCACGCTTGGAGGTTATTTCTATAAATAGTTTTTCGGGTTTCTTCTTTATAAATTATATAATGAAGTTAGTTCTTAAATAGTGTGTTATTGTTTGCAAAAAAAAGGCATTTTAACAAAACATATAGCACTTTTTTTTATCATTTATTACTTATTAAATTTTTTACTATCTGATCAATATTGACCCGGACTAACAAAAAAACCATATTTTCATATATTTTAATATAAATTTAATAATCGCCTTAAAAATAGGCTTATCTTCATCCAATAAAAACATGTCCATTTTCCAATTTTTCAATTGTATAGGCTCAACTAAGTTGGTGTCTTCAGCAAATTTATCGTAAGTTTTTTCGGTATCGGCACAGTTCCAAGGTCATATACGTAAATTCCCTCTCTAGACACCAGTAATGATGCGTTTAGGGAATGTAGGGTTCTAAAAGTAGCTGAACATTTAATAGTTTACAACCTCTAACCGACGTCGCTTTTCCAATATTTTAGTGCCAGTCTAGCACACGCTTCATATCCAAGACATAAGTCTATAATTATTTATTAGAAATTTTGAGATCTTTTGCTATCTCTCTGATGTCAACCCGACGATTTTCAAGCACTGTTTCTTTAATTATCCGATAATTTAAAAAAAAAGGTGTGATCGATTCGGTTTGCTCCTGCAGTTCCTGAATGAACCAGTTCGATACAAATTTCATTAGACATCCGAAAACTATACTGCTTATATGATAACACAATTTGTCGGTCTTCTAAATATAGTAATCAACTTTGGATTGTCTGTTACACATACAAAAACTAGTTAATATTTGATTAGGCCAAGTGTCATAACTGGAACTTGAATTCGCAATAGAAATTTCCTTCCATAACTCCAAGTCTCTCTAAGTCGAAGTTTTTTTGTGGATTATGCTGATTTGAATAAGGCAAGTTTAAATGTATTTTGTAACAGAGGCGCACATATAATATATTTTTCTTCTGGATACAAAACTAAATACCACTGTAATGTGGTATCCTCATACCATTATGTATGAAATTCAACTCACAAACATTGTTTTTGACACTTTGACGTGTTGAAATATTTTAAAAGCAGCGCTCAAATTCTGTAATTAAAGAAATGGCGAATCGAAGACGAATTTGGTATCTGTATATAGTATAACACAAAGACAAAGCTTGTAGAACTCTCGCAGTACTCATATTGCGGAGTGTACTTGGAGATCGTTACAAGTTTTAAGATCTCTCCGAAGAGAAATGCGTTATTATGCCCACTGTTCTAGGGGCGATCGCTTTTAGAAAAGTACGTTTGTTTTTGATATTGATAGAAAACTTTAATGGAACCAAAAATTAACAGACTATCATTCATTGACCTTAAATTTTAGCATAAGACCCCAACGGTTAAGTTTTTGGAAGAGACATGCATGAAACCACAAATTCTTCTCTAAATGTCGGTGAAAGAATTTTTAAACAGGAATAAGGGGGGTACTCTAGTCTATACGTCCAAGTTTCGAGTTCTTTTCTGGCATTTTATAAAACAAAACTGAAACCATTTTTTATCATTCACTTTTTGACAATTATTTTACTGATATTTCAAATGAACAAAAACGAAATGTCAGAAAAGTAGAAGAAGGTGTTGAGAAGGGTTCATGTCGTCAGGATTTTTACTCATGTGGTCATTTCAAAAAGAAAACAATGACAAAAATGAGGAAAATAGTATCGAAATGAACGCGTTTAAAGTTTTAAATTAACACTAAACCAGCTGGTGACCGCGACACTAAAGTTGCTGCAATTTTCAATATAATTGAATTTTGATAAATGCTTTTAGGAAGATATTTTGGAATATCTAAACTGTCGAATTATAAATCGAAGCCTCGAATTTTTGATTTTTTTTTTTTTTTATTTCTGGACAAGAATAACTTCTAAAACCCGACAAAACCTGGTATACCGAATAACAAAGCGTCATTTATTCTTATATATTTTTCGTTTGCCCTGACCCAGCCCTTACTTGTCGTTTTGTAACTTTCCATCCTGCAAACACTCTTTTTCACATTATGATTTCCTTGTTTATCCACAGATCTGCATATTCGGCACAATTGCGAACATACTCAACATAATCGTGCTAACCAAAAAGGACATGGCCAAAGCACCAATTAATAAAATCCTCAAATGGCTGGCGATAGCGGACATGTTCGTAATGATCGAGTACATACCGTTCGTTTCTTATCAGTACATCTACATGAAACCAGGTATGCGTAATTACAGTTAACAACACTTTATTAAATATTTACCGTACACAAATATATGTATGTAAGTAAATAATTTGTATTTACACGTGCTAATTTAAGGGAGCCCTGTGACTATTGCATTTTCATGGTCATGACTACCCGTCTCCAATTTCATTGTAACTACCTGTAAGCACTTAGTTGATGCTACATAATTACTGTTATGAATTTGCATTTATCACTTGTTTGTTACAAAATAATTAACTGTATATACATGTGTTTGTGTTTGTATGTATTCGGTTTCAGGCGAGGAGGATTTCAGTTACGCCTGGGCGGTTTTCGTGCTTTTTCACATGCACTTCACACAAATCCTGCACACGATATCCATCGGACTGACGGTGACTTTGGCAATATGGCGTTACGTGGCGATAAGGTATGTGCGCATGCGTGTTGCGTGTGTCGGCAATTAATTGCCTTGTGCACACATGTGCTTCCGATGTAAATAGTTTTTGTTTCGTTTTGCACCTTTACCGTTATGTGTGGTCATGTTGTTGTTAGTTTTGTAGACTTTTTTTTTTAAATCAGATATGTAGTTAGTTAACAGAGAGCTTGTTTTACAAAGTCATGCATGTGCCCCTGTAGTATTTTTTCGTGTTAAAACTGTGTCCTATGCATAATTTGCTTTGTTCTAATCTAGTTTATAGTTACATGCGGCACTAGCAAAATTACTTGAGGTTTTCCATGAATTTAAAACTTTTCTTTCGCACATTTCTGTGTATATTGTTGTAATTACTTTGTCATATCCACTTTCATACTGCAGAAAAAATGTCACATACTTTGCCAAAAAATTGCGGGACTTTTCTTTTATCGTTAGACACGCATAACATTTAGCTTGTACTCACAGCACGCAGTTTAAATTTAGCATTTCAGTAAAAAGAGAACATTGAACATATGACACGATATATAGAACGGCGCTTGAAAAGGTCATTCACTCTTACAAAGATGCTTACCTTATCTTTTTTAAACCAAAAAACATTCTAGACTATTTAGAAAATATTCTCCAAACATTGAAAAATTGGAATCAAAAATCAATCGAAAAAATAAAAAATTGACCAAAGTTTAATTTTTGGCACTGCTCAGATGTGTAGTTAGTCGCTTAAATCGAAGAACTGCTAACTCATTGTATGAAGTAATATAAGTATACTACTACGAGCAAAAAATAGTAAGGCTTTGTTCATAATTTTAAAATTCTTAATTTATTCTTCAAAATCAAATTTTTCTTCAGTGTCTATATGTTTCCCGGTTGTAAGCATAGATCCAAAACTCATCGCCAGTAGTTTAAAAAAAAAAAAAAAAAGAGTTATTTTGGAACCAATCCTACTTTCACATTTCTTCTGCCCAAATGATGTTTTGAAATGGTTTTCTCTAATCCTTCCGTTACCGCCAATTCTCACGCACCAATTGCTTTATTTTTTTGGCACGTTTGTCATAAGATGATTTTGATGGCCATCCTGGACGTGGTTCGACGTCAACACGTTCTCAGCCGTCTGTGAACACTTTCTACCAAAAAAATACACTTGCTCGGGACAAAAATTATGACCGAACTCCTTTTCCAACATTCTGAATGTTCGGCACCAGAAATTTGATTCCGCAAACAAAATTTAATGGAACATCTTTGTTGAATAATTTCACTCATCGTAAGAATCGACGAATGTACTTTATGTACTACAGAAAGATAAGCGTATACTAAGCACTGATGATTATTTTGATGAGACATTTGACACAGATGTCACTGACAGTTATACCAACCAAGAAAAAATAATATTTCGGCGTATGGGCTTTGCGCGAAATTTTTATTAAAAAGTCTTACTATTTTTTTGCTTACAGCTGATAGTAATTTGATAGCAATCGGATCAGTTTCCTTCGAGTAATCACTCAGTGAAATACCGATTCAAAATTTTAGTATATTTTGTGTTTTTGTTTTTTTTTAACTATAGCCAATCGAAATAACAAACACATGAATTTGTTTAGTTTCACACAAGCTGTGCACCTAAAGCTATCTCATTGAAAATTCAATCATTACATACCGAAAGTTAAATGTGTATAATTTCTTTCGGTAGTAGTCCAACTTATTTTTCTATTATTTGGCAAGCGTTCAACATTTATTTACACCACATTTCATATTCAAAAGCCGGTGCATGTGTATGCTTGTGATTATCCCGATCCAGACGCAACTACTTAAATAAGTGCAAGCACAGACAAAATATCATAAACAAACGACAGCCAAAGTCATTTGTACATAAATGCAGATGTTATATATGTAAGGGATACAGTATGTCTGTATATATGAATCACTTCATTTTGTAATCCTGTTGCTGGTCATGTGTAGGTGTTTCTCACGAACTCAGCATAAAGGATTCCATTGAAGACATCGCCCGTTGATCCTCTGATTGCTGTTCACATCACACTCCCTTATATACATAAACACATACATATGTATGTATGTATACATATGTCCATATTCATGAGTCATTAACCACAAAGCGAATCCTTTTATTAATATGCGAAAGTGTGCGTGCTGCATTTTCTAGACTGAAATCTATGCAGAATTCATCAGAGGTTCAATTATAATTTAATTTGATAGCAATGGTCATTGCCATTCTCTCATTTTCATTTTCTGGAAAATCATAATTACAAGGTCAATGGTTTTTACGCTCAATCATAATAATATTTGTAAATCATTTCTTGGTACGAATTGCTTGGAAATATGAGCCAATAAATAATACGGTTGTGCCACGTGCGGATAATACAGAAATGTAATGACAAAACAGTATTTATTTTTTATTTACACTCAAATAAAATAAATTTTGTGAAAAATTGTGGATTTGCAACAGTAAAGCTTTCGGCTCAAATATTGCTTGCTAGATACCGATTATAAAGGGATAACAACACTCTCAGAGCTGGAGTTTTTTCATCCATTCGGATGATATGACCTAGCCATCTCAGCCGCGGTCTTTTGATTTGCTGAATTATGTCAATGTTGGTGGATATGTCGTACAACTCATCGTTCCATCAACTATGGTATTCGCTCTTCCGCAGAACTTTTCTCTCAAAAAATCATAACGCTGACTTATCAGACGTTGTCATCGCCCATGCCTCTGCATCATATAGCAGGACGAGAATTTTGAGTGACTTATAGAGTTTGGTTTTTGTTCGTCGAGAGAGGACTTTACTTCTCTATTGCCTATTTAGTCCGAAGTAGCACCTGTTGGCATGAGATTAGTTTGTTTTACTGCAGGTTCTAAGATAGACGAAATTATATACGATTTCGAAGTTATAACTGTCAGCAGTGCCGTATTGCCCTAGTTCACTACCACATCCATTTGCTTCGCTTCTTTGTCCAGCCTGGAGAAAGCAGAACTAACGGCGCAGTTGCTATGGCCAATGATATCGATGTCATCGACGTATGCCCTCAGTTGTAAACTCTGGTAGAAAATTATGTTCACCAGCAGTAGTTTAAAGAAGTCGCACGATAGCGAGTCGCCTTGTCTGAAACCACTTATGATATCGAACGGCTCGGACAGGTACTTCGTACAGTTTGCCAAGCCGTGTTTTCGTGCCGTCAAAAGCAGCTTTAAAATCAAAGAAGACGTCGTTTCACGGTTCTTGTAAATATCTGGTCAAGTGTTAAGTTTACAAGCCTGTAGCCACACTGTTAAGGCCCAGCCCTTTTCGGTTGCCCTGACCCAGCCCTTACTTGTCGTTTTATAACTTTCCATCCCGCAGCCACACTGTTAAGACAGAGCACACTTAAATTCCAATTGACGGGCATGCTTTCGTCCGACCATATTTTACAAAGAAGCCGATGCATGCTATTTATCGGCCCCGCCACTTTGTTGTTCTTCAATCGGGTAGTTGCTATATGGTCTTCTTTATGGTATTTTATTTTTTCTAAGTTTTTATTCAAGTAGCTTAAGATATAGTATGACACGCAACCATATTTGAAAACTATATGCGATAAACGGGTTAAAACAAGATTGCAACTAAGCGGACATATATTTACATCCTAAATAACTCCTAAACCGAAAATGGTAAATGTTCAAAGGCAAGAGTACAAATATTTTCGTATTCATTTAACCTCAAAGGTCGCATTATTAATTAATAGTTTCAAAAATGGTAAAGAAGTTCTTTCAAACATATTTATTATTCTCGAACTAACTGTTTTAATATTTTAAAAAATTCCTAGATATCCTTTTCATTCTTAATAGCTAAGGCACTCAGTTGTGTAGTATGTCTAACATAGCAATAATAAGTAGTTGTAACTAAAATGTGTTCGCCTAAAAAGTACTTTTTGACAATGCTGGCAAAACGAAAAAAAAATTTTTAACAAAATTTTGAAATTCTCTCCCTTTTCATTCGATTTACGGTTATTCTTACTATTTTTTATTCCGAAAAATACAATTTCTTTTTTCTTTCAATTCGATCTACAAATTGGTTTTATGGTTTTTATTTGAAAACTGCTTTTATCTCGCTTCTGGCCTTCCTTTCGCTGTTCTTTTTATTTTTGTAGCAAACTTTTTCCTACTCTCTTTTTCAGACATCCACATGGACGTTTTGCGGCCTTTCTGTTGTCACATTGCACCGAGGCGATAATATTCTCCTTCATTGTCTCACCAATTGTCTGTTTTCCAACACTATTTGTGTTCAAGGTGCGCGAGAGTTATGTGGAGGACAGCCAGGAGCCGCTGTATCACGTCTACGCGGACGAGGACACGCAATTGTACAGGTGAGTACACATATGTACGATATGTATACGAGGGAATAAAAATTGGTAACAATTGATAAATATGCTAATAAATATGTGCACGTGTGCTCAGGGGTTTTCGCACCGGTGTTAGTGGAAAATTTGCGGTGTATATTCACCACTAAAAAAATAAAAAATTATTTTTGGCATCAATGAAAATAAAAGTTGACAAGTGAGTTCAAGTATTTTTGAATAGCTCGATGACTCTTCCTTATTTTTCTGTACAGAGATCACTTGCGCTTTTATTTATCTTTATCGAGGTTCTTGAGACCTTTGTTGAAGTCAACCCTTCTTTATGTCACTTACGACTGATGAAGTCAATAACCCTTTTGTTTGACTTTAGTTAGATCCCACTCTTAATAAGATCAAAGAGCTTTAGGGTTGTTGGTAACGCTAAGGGTCAGGGTATACAAAACATTTAGATCGGTCAGTTTGAGTAACAGCTATAGTCCGATCCATCCTTAAGATTATTTTCAAGAATTGTTCCGATATCTCAGAACTACCGAATTTCATGAATGTACCTTGTCAAATAAAAAAGTTTTGTATACAAGTACTTGATTTTGATCATCGGTTTTTATGGCATCTATGTATATGATATAGTTGTCTTATATCGTCGGCTCCGACAAATGCGTAGCTTCTTGATGAAAAAAGAACGTGTTTAAAAGTTCCAGCCGATATTTTAAGAACTGAGAGACTTATATACAGACGAACAGACAGAAGGACATGACTAAATCGACTCTACTTATTACGCCGAACATTTACAAAGGGTTTTTCAGTAAGAGCGCTACAAAATAAAAATATTTAAAAGCAACAAAAACGGTTGGGAATATCAATGGAATTCTTTATTCCTGTGAAAGTACATTCGATGTCATTATATATGGAACTCGATTTTTTGGATGGCCACCGCGGGTATGCTTGCAGAAGTCCAAACTCCGAGCCGAATATTCGACGGTTTTCAAGCATAAATTGGCCGATACTCTGCAATTTCACGTTCGGTATTCGTACGAAGTTCATCAATCGTCGCAGGCTTTTTGGCATAAACCAGAGACTTGACGTAGCCCCGCAGGAAAGAGTGTAATGGCGTCAAATCGCATGACTGAGACGGCCAATTTATTGAGCCATTTTGTAAGATACCAAGTTCACCAAGCCCATATCATCTAATTCCGACCCAAAAATATTCGGTTATCATTGAGCGGTAACGATTCCCATTCACAGTAACGTGCCGGTCTTTATCATAACGAAATAAATACGGCCTAATAATGCCGCCCGCCCATAAACCACACTAAACCGTAACTTTTTCGGAGTGCAATGGTGACTCATGGAGTATATGTGGATTGCAATAACGCATATTTTGCTTATTGACGACGGCATTCAGCCAGAAATGAGCTTCATCGCTGAAAATTATTTTTCGATGAAAATACGGTGGTCAAGCGGCTTCAGTTCTAGCGTCAATTTGATCTTGTAAGCATGTAGGTGATAGATATTTTCGCAAAATTCGCCACAACGACGTCACAGAGATGCCCAACACCACTAGACGCTCAAATGTTGATCTGATCTGACAGGACGATTATGACTGAGGTCATTGATAATAATTTCGATCGTTGTTGGATCGTATCTCTTTCCACGATGAAATGGTAAACTTGCCTGAAGAGAAATGTCAAAAATATGGCGTCGTTTGCTATCCCTATCAGTCTATTTTTGTAGCGTCGCTATTAAAAAGCCCGTTATGTGTTTGGTATGTACATTAATGGGTGTCCGATGTTTTCTTTTAGGTGTTACAAGCGTCATAGCAGCGTATAAATATATTTTTAAAAAGGTCACACATTCCGAATCAGTTATTTTTTCTCGTAGTGCCACTACAAATGATATAAAAAAAGCCCTTTTGACTGGTCCCTTTGCATTAATAAATACAAACTAAAATTATAAAAAAAGAAATCAAATGAGGTAGGAGTCAAGTTGTCTCTACAGCTATTTCTCAAAGCTATATTTCATTCAAACTTATATTTGCTCTCTTTTAAGTGAGTGCAGTCGCACTTGATACAGCCATAAAAGCGTAATTAAATGAAAGTGACACTATGCAAATGCGTTAAGCCGAATGACCAAGGTGTCTTAGCGGAGATGAACTCAGTGCCTGATTCATCAAAATCATCAACTCTTGTGTACTGACAGAATTTTCGCTGATGTCAACTAGATTAAAGCTGAGCACACTTACTCAATGCCATTTACACATAGACGAAAAAGATGACGGAGCAAAGTAAATTGTATCAAAGACGTTTTATCTTTGCATTGCAAACGTTAGCTCAGGCTGCAAAGCAAATATATAAAGCAAAGCAAATATACACTGAAGCGACTAGCAGTGTATCTTGCCGCCAGTATCCAGTTTTGCGTTCGTTAGATAATAATGTCATTAACACTAGCTATGTGTAGCGGTTAAAACTTTAAAGCGACTATTTTCTAAATCTCTTACGTTAGAGTGAATTTATTCTTAGGCTATCCGAAATAATGTTTTTTCTAAGAGTTTTAGACTTTCTTTGAGGGATAGCTGTCAGAGTAAACCAAATAGTTATGTTTGACATAATTACTTAGCAAGGTCTCACATCGGAAGATCGGAATGTGTTTCCGAAACTCATGCCCTTTTCGGTAAACTCTTTGTAAATAAAACGCAAATCATTTAATTATTAATCAATGTTTATTTTGTCCGGTTTTTCGAGTCCTCGATAAACTTCTCATAAGCACTTTTTAGGATGACGCTCCTTCAGCAAATTTTGTTTAATCTCTTCTATCGAAAATGGAACCCGCGGAAAATTTTTCGTTTGGTTAACAAGAATAAATCACAAAATTAAGCAATACGGCGCTTGATCGATGGTATAACGCGTTGAATACGCTGGCGTTGGCGCGTTGCCTTTAAATTCGGTCACAATCGTGACTCGATGTAATGATGCATTATCATCGTGTAAAATTCATGAACTATTCTTCCACAATTACAGACGTCTTCGACGGATGTTCTCACGCAAACGCCTCAATACGGTCAAAAAGAACTCCTTATTACCGTCTGTCCTTTCGAAACAAATTCATGATGCACCAAACCATGAATATCCAAAAAAAAACAAATCACGTTTTCCCCCCTCCATTTCATTTTCTCCATGATTGATTCCCTGTTGGCATGTGAAATTCATAAACCCATGTCTCATCGGAAGTTATATTCCTCTTCATGAATTTGGGATCGGAATTCGCACGATCAAGCATGCCCAAAGAGACCTGTTTATGGTACTTTTTTTAAATAAATTTCAGCTTTATAGGAACGATCCGAGGAAGAAGGCGTTTTCTACAAAGAAAAAGATCCACCAAACTTATTCGAACGGACTCGAGAGAGATATCAAGCTCTTTTGCCATCTCTCCAACACCTGCCCGACGATTTCAAGCACCATATCCTTCGATTTTTTTTTAATATTGCTATCAGTTGAACTGGTCGAAAGTTGTCCGAAACGATTTTTCGACCGTCTTTGAAGGCTTTGTATCACTCGTAGACTTGTGTTTTTGATAAAATTGAATCGCCTTTTCCAACTTTCGCAACGATTTCGCAAACGGACCTTCGTCTGAAAAACAAAATGTAAAACAAATTCTTTGTTCGAAATTTTAATTCATTGTAAAAATCGTAACGCACTACTAAGGTGTACCGACTTAAACGGCTGCTGTAAACAAAATGAATGACAGATTGCACTCATATTTGACATAGTAATCAATAAGAGTCCTATCAATTTAGTAAAATTAATTTTTTTATTGTCACCCGGGGAATTTAATTACAATTTCCATTTTTTCTCACAATGTATAAATAACTCTGAAAATGTGAACCATCAACAGCTTGCATCCTTCGGAGAACGTTTTGCTGTTTCTTTGTAGCCACGTTGTTTGATATAAACAATCTTCAAGTCGAATAAAGGTTATTTTCGAAGACCTTTTTTTTATCGATCATTTTATATGACAGGTACAGGTCCGGTTCCGACAAATCAATAGCTTTCAGATCGATACCAGATTAAAGATACGAACCTGGCTAAATCGACTCAAGTCACCGGTGTTACCCTGTGCTGGATATAAAAATTATACTATCACTTGGAAACAAAGCTTATGCGATTTTAATTTTAAAGACTACTTATATGACTGTACACAAAGTTAACACGGAAACCAACATTCGGCTCATTATTGTTTAGAAACGAACATTTTTGGTGGAAAGTGATGCAGAACTGGGACTTCTGAATTTGAACAAAAATTACTTCTCAGAATTCTTGCAATCTAGGGTGGCAACATTTTTGCTCTACTAATTTAAACTCCAATTATTGAGACTCATCCGATAACAGTGGGGCTCCATATGATTTTCTATCAGTATGCCATATTCTTCATTATAAAAAAAACAATGTAAATAACATAAATATTTTCAAAAATAATCAATACCAAACCACCAATGAACCACCTGCATCGCATAAAAAGCACTATCTACATACATATATACCTAATATAAACCCTCTTTCGAACGCAACCGGAGCAACAAAAAACCTAAAAAAAAAATCACTGAACAATCAATCGAACAGGTAATCATAAAAATCAGAAACGTGTCGTATATATGTTATTTCAATAAGGGAACACAAACAAAAATTGTTCCCAAAGCAAACACTAATAAATAATTTGGTGTGAATGAATATAACACGTGTTCCAATTGCCTAAAAATTCCTACTTAAAATTGTTATTGTAATTTTACATATATGCATTTGCAATTCCTTACCTGCGGCAAAATAACAACATACCATAATTTCATTTTTCGCCAGAACATTTGTTGCTACATAATTCGAAGTTCGTTGAAATTGTGTGAGAGGCTTAAGAGAAGTTAAGGTGATCCTCTTTTCTTGTGTAGTAAATGCATTGTAACAATTCGCCAAATAAAGTATTAAAATGACGTGATCGAATTACGATTGATTTAAAATTGTTGTTGTTATTATTATTATTGTTATGTTACTTTTACTATAATAATAATAATTATTATTATTTTTATTATAATTTTTAATATTATTGTTATTATTATTATTTTTTTATTATTATGCGTTGTTTCAATTCAGCAGTTAAGAGCCACTTTTCAAAGCTAAGGCGAGTTGTTGTAACATTGGTTTAGTTTATATTTATTCACTGTAACTGAGTATATATATTCACTATTTAAACATTTTTGATTCAAAAAATATTTTCTCCCTTTTTTACTTCATAATAATTTCCGACACTAGTCTAACCCTTTCTAAGTATTCAATTTATAACTGAATATCAATTAAAAACTTATAGAGTGCTCCAGGTTCTCTACTTTTTTTTTAAAGAAAAAGCACAGAAACGTCAAATATAATGTGGAATGTTTATTATCATTCGAAAGAACATTCTTTGGAATTTATTTTTTGAAGTTCATGTCTTTCAAATGTTGGCAGCGGCCACTTCTTCTCAGATGGTCCATCCGTTGAGTTAAATTTTTAATGTCCCGTTCGAGCATTTCGACTGGTAACTGGCGAATGGCAAGCGAGAAATTTTGCTCCAATGCCTAAATCGAAGCCTGATTGTCCACATAAACTGTGTGATATCACACAATCTTGGCGGCCAATCGACCGGCCCAAAACGTGAAATTATCTGCTTACCGATGTGTTCTCTCAATAAATCCATTGATTGATGCGATGTGTGGGAAGTGGCGCCATCTTGTTAAAACTAAAGCCGAGATCACGAGCTTCAATTTCAGGCATCAAATAGTCGGTTATCATGGCGCGATAACGATCGCCATTGATTTTTAGGTTCCCAGCGACATCATTTTTGAAGGAATATGGACCGAAGGTTCCACTTTGTCACACCACCAAACAGTTATTTTCTGGATGAAATGCGAGCTCTTGAATCTCTTCAGGCTAATATTTGTCCCAAATGCGGCAATTTTTCTTGTTGAGCTGGGATTAAGCCTCATCGCGGAAGGAAATTTGGTTCGAAAACGTCGTATCTTCTTGGAAATTTTCAAAATCCCATAGTGCAAACCGATATCGCTTGGAAAGGTCAAGCGGCTTCAGTTCTTGCATAATCTTTCAATTTAAGATCTCGACGCAAAATGCGCCAAGTGGTTGCATCGTCAGTCCGAGTTGCTGCGAACGGCGCAGAATCGACTCTCCACGGTCTTTGTGAACACTCGCCTATATTTTTTTTTTTTTTTTTTTTTTGTTTTTCACTTCGTGCTGGACGCGGTCTATTTGGTCGAATATTATCTAATAATGAATGCTGGAGCTCAAGATGGGTGATGGTGTTGCGAATAATATGCTCAGTAGGCCGATTTTGTTGACCACGCGTAACTCATTCTTTACATAATGTGAATTTTCATAATAAAGCTGAACGTTAACGATTTGTAAGCATTGTTCAGACGTAAGTCTTTCCATTATGAAATCCAAAAAAAATACTGAACAAAAATAAGATGACAGCTTGCCACGACTCACAGGTGATCTGCAAAAAAAAAAAGGGCTTTGGAAAAGTACTTCTACTTGGATCACTCGTTTAAAAGCAAGTTCCTAATTTTCTATAACCTCTAACACACAACTGCTTTATTCAGTAGCCTGTTGCCATGCATAATATCAATTGTGGTGTACGCCTACTATACACGTGTCAGTTCCATACATAATAAGAGCCTAAGAAAAGTTCAGCCAAGTAAAGTTTTAGGATTTGGCATATTTTCTTTTCGCTGACACACACGATCTGGATTACCACATTGACAAAAGCTAAATCAAAATTATTTAATTTTTTTATTTTTAGTCATATTTTACATAAATATACATTCGTACATATATCGCTCTCACATGCTGGAACAGTTCTGATTTAATGCGGCCAATAGTTTCTTGCGAGTTTCTATAATGCATTTTATGAATTCAATATTATTAGTGGTCTCTACGTAACACTGATTCATTTCGGCTTCTTTATATAAACGCATACGTTTGTTGATATCATAACCGATTAGCTGTGATATAAAAAAATATATTAAAAAATCAAAAAATTATAAATTTTTTACACATATTTATTTTTAATAATTGGACTAGGTGGCAATTTTTTTAATCCCATTTAACATCGTTTTATTAGTGTATTTGCACTAACCAGTGGCATTTCCAGTTCACTTTGACCATCACTTAAGGCGCATGTTTTGCCATTGCTTTCGCATTCCACCAATTTATTTCGGAATTTGTAAAAAATTTCCGCTTCGGTTTTATAGAGTTCATAGACATCGCTTTTGCCCGCTTTTTGGCTATATATTTTACGGCATTCGTCACTCAGGTCATTCATATCGGATTCCATTTGGAAATCGCAAGTGTACCAAAAGTTAACAAGTCCGCTTTGCTCACCGCTACAAACCTGCAGAGCCTTTGTTTGTGACATTCTCTTGAATTTCTTCAGTAAATAACACTTACATAGTGAGGGCTTATGAAAGCCACCAGTACGAATAGAATTTTGATCATATTTCGGTTTAAATATTATACTACAATGATGAAGGAAAATATTTCTGAAATACTCTTGACATAATAAATTTTTATTTGTTACACAACCAAAAAATGATTAGTACATAATAGTGTCAAAGTCAAAACAAATAGAAAACACATGTTCATTGAATAGACCAATCAGAGATCGGGGAGAGGAAGCATAGGCGTGGTGCCAAAACGAGATTGATTAAAGATTGAAACACCCCGAAATTGTAGTTAAATGAATTACATGAACTTTACAATGGATAAGAATATCGAGCAAAGAATTTGTTTCAAATTTGGTATTTCTAACCAAATTTCGTCTGCGGAATCGTTGTGAATGTTGGAAAAGGCTTACTTTACGGTTCAAGACATGCCTCGTTCTGCGCGACCTTCGACCCCTTCAACTGGCTCCCAAATTGAAATTATCGCTCCGTGCAACCCGTTTTCGGTCGATCGAAAAAAAAAACAAAATTCGCTGGAGAAGCTGAAGGCTGAAGGCTACCAGAAAAAGTGCTTATGAAAAGTGTTTCGCGGACTGGAAAAATATTTGGCATAAGATATTTGGTTGGGATTACTTTGAAGGCGATAAAATAAATTTTAATGAATAATTAAATATTTTGCGTTCTATTTACAATTTTCGGGTACTTTTTGTCACCATGTACAACATAAGTATATGTATATCTACAATTTCTGCATTTACACCTTTTTTATTTAACCTCAAATTGTAAGTATGTGAAAATCAAAAACATTAAATAATTTTATTTTTATCTTCAGAAATATTTTTCTCACGACATGAACTAACACTTTTATGTCTCAAGATGCTGTAATTTCTTTGATTTAAAGTATTTCTTTCCCAGTGGACTTCAATCAACTATGAATGCTTTCACTTTTTACCATTTTCAAAGTTCAGGGTTTAGTTGCCGAAAAAGGCAACATAAAATATGAACTCTTCCCATACTTGACAATTAGTTAATTCAATTTAATTTAGTACATCGTATTGAAAATATTATATATAGAAAGTAAATAAATATCAATAATGATGATTGGAAACACTGCACCGTGAGCTAAGGAAAAAATGGCACATAAACGGTAAAACAGCAACCACGCATGAAATGAAAGCTGCTTCTTCTTCAAAAGCATCGTTTGCTAATTGTTGACCGAATGTCCTAGGGAATCATAAAAGGGTGGTGATGGAAGATATTTCTCTCTTTTTCAACGCGCAAATATCGCAAAGTTCGAATAATACAATAGCAATGATTGTGAAACAGGCAATGCAGTAACACAGTATTGCGTATTTGTTATTTCAGGAACGGTATGAAAAAGCGAAACTAATATGTGTTGCTGCTTTGAGTTGATGACTAAAGCATGTGATGGAGCAATAATTTTCCTCTGCGTTTTCACATCGATGATGCCGGGGTTTATAATGTATTTTGAGAACAACTCAACAATAAGATGATAATGAGTGAATTGGAAGACAATCATACATACGAACTACATATACATATGTACAATTGAAACATGGTCATGTGTGTTGGATTTCAACACAAAGCAATGCAGTGTCTCTTGAATTTATTTATTTTCAGTTTATTTTTTATGAGAACTCAATCTTAGCATTGTACCTGGGATAGTAAAATAATCAAAGCGGTATTAACTAAATTAATAATAGGAAAATAATAATGTATTATTTACTACATTTAATGTACTATATGTTACTATAAAGTATTTGTTAATATGTTTGTAATGTTGCATAAGACGCATATAATAAAATTATGTTTTTAACAGGTCAATCGACCGAAGTTCACAAAATTTTCTTTGATTTGGCATGATAAGTAATCGTAATGTATTTATCTGGTGATAAATGAAACACTACAAATTTGCAATAAAAAAATATGTTACTCTGATAGTTATGCAGCATATTGTTGGTAGCCTGTCCCAGGTTTGGGAACAATGTTGGCAATTGTGGTTTGTTGTTATATACTTAAGCAGTCATAAAGAGGAGTTCGAATTCGAGACTCGTCCGTCATTTTTTTTAATTTTGATTTTGTATGAAAAATTCGTGCAGTTGTACCAAGCGATCATAAATGGAGGCCATTGCTTTATAATAACAAAAATATGTTACATTTAGTGTTGTTTTAACAGCGATAATGAGATCGGAACGAATTTTTGTTACTAGAGAGAACTGGTCGGCAAAGGACAGCTGTGAATTACAATGCCATCAAAACACCTACTGCGCTGTTTTGTGCGCCTAGTAGTAAGTGATACTTTTGATACTCGAATTATCGGAATTACATGGAAAATTTCGCTTCATTTTTTTTTTTTTTTTTTTGTATAAATGAATCGATCACAGAGATCTTCATTATCATTCTTTAATTATCTACATTTTACAATAACAAAACATTAGCAACTTTTTAGTGTCTGATGATATGAAAGATGAGGAACGAATTTTTGTTGCTAGATCATGTTATTGAAAAATCGACGACTGCATTTTATGCGCACCTGTTAGAAAAAAGGAAATAAGTTCGGCTTTTCAGAGTTATTTTTATAACACATACATACATACATACGTAGCCGCTTTATACAGACAACTAAGTCAGTCACTCCAAATATGACCACAATGCACCAGGCAGTCATAACAGAGAGAGAGAACGTGCAAAATCGATATCGAAATTCGAACTTTGTTACATTTATTGTTGTTTAAGGAACGACATGAGAACTGAAACAAATGAATTTACTGAGGAATAAGTGAGTAGAGAAGAAGTGAGTGAGACACCTACTGCGCTGTTATGCGCGCTTGATAGCAGTTGATGTTCAACTACATGAGTTTTAAAGTAAAAACGTCCTTGAAAATTATTTCAATATCCATCGTTGAGTCTCCGTCTGAACAAAAAAAAAAAAAAACAATCACAAAAACACAACTATAGCCTTAACATACGCTACCGTCGCTGCTCTGGCTGTGGCTAGTAACTGAAGTAGATGTTATGAGTATGTTGAGTCAGCGAATGCCACGGTTTCTGCATTGTCTGGCCTATGTTCTATGATCTATGGCAGACAATACAGAAGATTGTTTAATTTCACTGCCAGCGTTCTGGATAATCTTGTATATGGAATTTATTGGTCAAAATCCTTACAGGTACTTACCGGTTTACCATGTGATGAAATAAAATAGCTAAATATTAATTACTGTTTATTTTTTATTGACCTTATCATATGAATCGTAGTTTAATAAATAAATTTGTAAAGATAGCTACCAAAATATGATTTTATCGATGGAAGAAATATTTTTATAATTGGCTGTTGCTCCGAGCAGTTAATACTGCTGTTTGAGAAGATTAAGCCAATTAATCTTTTAAACGGCTTTTAACCGAAAGTTGGAATTTTTAGCCAGTTTTCAAATTTAATTTGGCAACAACTAGAATCTATCTCCGTTACCCCTGAAATCGATTACCGCATTGAACTTCGAATGACTGGAAGAAAAAAATTTTATGTAAAAAGTATGTTAATTAGGCAATACTAAATTGTCCAGTATTTAATTATTTGCAAATCGTTTCCATAAAATAGAGATAATGATTTATTTCAAATCATAGGTATCTTCATTATTTTCGAGTCAAAACAAGAAAAAAAAATGTTAAATTTGGTTGCACCGAAAGAAATCCGAACTTAATTTTGATAGATCAGTTTATATGGTAGGAGTAAGATATCCTGGTCTGATATTATCGTATCCGATAAATGAGCTTCTTGGCGAGAAAAGGATGTATACTAAATTTCACATCAATAGCAAAAAAAAGCTGAGGGACTAGTTCGCGTTTATAGAGTGAACCGACAGGCGGGCAGACATGTGAGCATGGCAAAATGAACTCAGATCGATACGTTGATCTTATGGACATAAATATTTTAAAGGGTCTTTAACGTTTTCTTGCAGTGTTACAATTTTAACCCTATTCAAAATTTATGCGAAATATTATTTGTATAGGGTGATCTATTTCAAGCCTCTCTACTTTTTTAAAGAAATTAGGCGTGCTTATTATCATTCGAAATAACATTTTGAAGATTATCTCTGTCAAATGTTGGCCGCGGCTACATCATAGATGGTCCATACGTTGGGTCCAATTTTCAATGTCTTGTTCAAGCATGTCAACTGGTAACTAGTAAAGGATACTTGTGATGTTTACACGTCGCCACAGGAAAAAATCTAACGGTGTGATATTACATGATCTTGGTAGCCAATCGCCTTGCCCCAAAACGTGAAATTACAAGGTGTGTTCCAAAGTAAACAGAACATTTTGAATCTAGTGCCCCCTGGTTTTGCCACCTATATGTCGACTGGTGAGTTAGAATCTTTATCGATTTTCCAGTGAGAATTTCATGACATTTCATTGTTTTGAAGTGTAGTTATTGCGTTTTAAGTGTCAGTATGTTTGTGTTATCGGTGCGAAAAGGAGCTTTGAGTAAAGCGCGAACATTAAAATTTGTTTTAAAATTGGTAAAACTTTTACCGAAACGTTTCAATTGATGAAATAAGTTTATGGAGACGATTGCCTATCTCGTCGCAGAGTGCACGAGTGGTTTCAACGTTTTCAAAATGGTTGTGAAGACATAAATGAAGATCAACATGTGGGCCAATCAAAATCCGTGATCATTGGAAATTCCATCGAATCACGCACAGTCATCAAAAATTAGCCGAAATCATCATTGAAATTCACGGAAATGTAATTGAACATCTCCAAAACATCGATTTATAGCATTTTGTCCGAACATTTACAACATACGAAAGGTGTGTGTGTGCACGGTTTGTTCCGCACAAATTGACAGACGATCAAAAATCGCACAGAATCCAACATTCCAAGGACATCATTGTGACCGATTATTTGACCAAAACTCGCATTTTAACCATTAACCACTCCCCGTATTCACCTGATATGGCACCGTGCGACTTCTTACTTTTCGGAAAAATGCATTTGCCCATAAAAGGAAAACGTTATGCAGACGTAGACGTCAAAAGGCTTGCACCGGCATACTACCGGTTGGACGTATCGGCCAACTAGCTAAAATACTCGTTCGACATGCTTTGGGACCGTGCAAAAAACTGTATTGAAGCAGAGGAGACTATTCTGAATAAAATAAATTGATTTTGCCGAAAAAACCATTTGTTCTGTTTTTTTTTTAAGTCCTATTACTTTGGAATGCACTTTGTATTTCTTCACCGAAGTGCTCTCTCAATAAAACCACTGATTGATGCGATGTGTGGGAAGTGGCGGTGTCTTATTGAAACCAAACGTTCCCGAGGCATTATTTTTAAAATCGATTCCACCGGCCTACAAACCACACTAAACCGTTGTTTTTTCTGGATGAATTAGCAGCTCTTGAATCTCTTCAAGTTTTCAGTGCATTCTGCTCACTATTTACAATAGTAGTAAAATAACCGCCAGAAGAAATTGTGTTTATAGAATAATTAGAGTTATGTACCTTAGAGCTTCAGAATTATAACATTATTTTTTCGAATGTGAACACTTTTTTCAGTATTTCACAGAAATATAATGTTTTTATAGCAATGCAACAAATTGTACATACATATATATAATTTATATAAAACTTTATATAATAAAAAAATAGTATATAGATACTAAATTTTAACTTAATTTTTCCCCATAGGATCAACTTTTGGATACACTCGGTGATAATTAAATTGTTGCCTTGCTGCATACTAACCGTTATCAGCTTCATATTAGTACGAGTTCTATGTGAGGCGTCGAAGCGAAAGCAAAAGCTGAAGGACTACAATAATCCCAATAAAACTGGCAACGCCAACGGTGGCAGCAGCTGTGCCGGGGAAGTTCCTTTAACCGAGCAGCGGCACTCACAACGGTGTGTATGAGTAACATTTTATTGGAAAATTTTAGCAAAATTGTACTTGACATTATACATACAATGATCTGCTGCCATTGAAAATGATTACATCAAAAGAAAAATAACAGTTATAATACAAAGTTAGCAAAAAAACAAAAAAAAACCAAAAACATTACAAAATCAGTATTGCCAATTTTGTTTTTATTTATTTATTAGACACAATAACCAAAACTATGCAGAAAGCTAAAACAAAAAAAAGTAATAATTATAGTCTGATTGTTTGCGATCGACTAAAGCTCGCCGTTTTCAGTTAATCTTATACGAAATTGAACAATTATCAGTCACTTTCGCTTGAATCATTAACGCCATTTTGAAATTCCCCCAATTTATACCTCGCTCAGTGAATAGAAGATAAGCACAAAATGAGACCTGAAATTTCCATTCAAAACACTAGTTACCAAGAAAATCAAAATCAAAGAATCACCCACGACTGCAGCTAGCTTGATTTTCGGTGGAAATAGTTTGCCTTGAAATTTCTTTCCAATTTATATGAAAGTGCGTTTTGTTACATTGAATGGAGGTACATTTGGGAATATGAAATTATTTAATATGAATTCTGCTGGCAACCGTTTATTTTTTTTTTGTTTTTTTGTTCAAAGACTGAAACCGAGTTTACATATCAAATAAGTTTATTAACATGTATTGCAAATTACTGAACCTTAATTGCATCAGCCTCGAAAGTTCGAAAATATGTATGTATGTACATATCGTCACTTAAAATGCAAAACAACGTATCACCAAAAAATCGAAATTGAGTTTTTTATTGTTTATGATTTAGCTTATCGTATAGTATATATGTACATATGTATGTACCATAAAATTTTCATATTCCGTTATCAGATATAATCGCTATATAACTAGTACATAACCATTTAATAACCAAAACTCAAACTTTCTTTGAATATAAGTGATTTCTATTATATTTTCTTCGTTTATTAACTAATGAAAAGTGCGTTCATTTGCATTTTAGGTGACGATTTGTATGTACATATCTGCTGTGGTGTTAATGAACAAATATATTGAGGAGTTTGCACGTGAGGCAGGTGTGCTGAATAAGTTATTAAATAAAAAATATAAAATGCTTTGTTTTCGTATGAAATTTTCGAAATGCAACAAGATCTGTAGGCTGCTTTTGAAATAGCTAGTTATACAATATATGGCGTATATGTATAAGTCAGTTCAAGTTCAGTACGAAAATTGGTTACTTTTATACAGCCTTTTTTTCTGAGTTCTAAGTTTTCACAAGTTCTATATGTATGTATATAATATTTGAAACTTCGAGATACCTCGATATTACGATACAAGCATATACAGCCATGGACACATAAATAGCACAAATCCGAATCCAATATTATTTCTCATTTCTTTAATCGTAAAGTTKATGAACAATAACAATGTGGCATGTATCTACTTGTTACCGTTATGAAGCTCATTTCGCTGTTCAAAAATACCGTTTATTTCCTATTATACTTTTTACGCAGCAATTTTATTGAGTATAGTGTTGATTTGAAGTGGACACATAAATAGCACACTTTTAAGTTCGCAGTTTATTTTGAATTTTGTGTTCAGTTTTCGCGTGTTTTCAATTTAGTTTTGTAAATTAATAATTATTTCATCGATATTTGATTAAAATGGGAAGGGGAAAACATTGCACGCCGGAAAAGAGAGCGCTTATGTGCGATATGAGCAAAAATGGAAAATCTCCTACCGAAATTGCAGAAATAATGCATTGCTCTCGAAAAATGGTATATAATGCTMYTCATGCAAMAATAAAGGACCCATCTTGTGTCAACAAAAATATTCCAAGAAAACCAAGACCATGTAAAACCGATATTAGGGTTGACAAAACCATAGTACGGTAGAGCAAATCCGATCCTTTTAAGTCAGCCAGAGAAATAATGATGGAAATTAATGACGAATACGGTGCGAACGTATCCAGAAAACTTGTTGGAAGACGACTGAACGAAGCTCAACTTTTTGGACGAGTTAGCAGGAAGAAACCACTCCTGTCAAAACGCCACATCAAAATTCGACTGGCATTTGCAAAGGCACACAAGGACAAACCAGAACAATTTTGGAGAAACGTGCTTTGGAGCGACGAAACCAAGGTAAATAGGATGGGTCCAGATGGAAAAAYATTTGTACGTCGTCCGCAAAGTCAAGCCCTTAACCCTAGGTACACCAAAAAAAAACCATTAAGCACGGCGGTGGAAGTATCATGGTGTGGGGCGCGTTTCCATGGCATGGCATAGGGCCTATTGTTTGAATAAATGGTAAAATGGATCGGTTTCAGTATTTAGATATACTGAAAAATAAAATGGAACCATTTGTTTTTGAATCCATGCCAATAAACTGGACCTTTATGCATGACAATGATCCGAAGCACACCTCAAAGGTAGTAAAACATTGGCTCGACAATGGAAAAATTAGAATATTGGATTGGCCTGCGCAAAGCCCGGATCTGAATCCAAWTGAAAATTTATGGAATGATGTGAAGATCGAAATAGCAAACAAARAATTYAAAAATTTTGATGATTTATGGGCTGGAATAGAGGAAGCTTGGTATTCAATTCCAAAGGAATTGGAAAAAATACTAACGAAGTGAGAAATTTTATGATATTTTTTAGTCATTTTTATACATTTTTGTACCTTTTTGTACACTTTTTTCAGATTGTGCTATTTATGTTTCCCAGCTGCCATATAGGATATTGATGTTTTCGTATTTTTTTTTACCAATAATAAAATATTTATTTTTTTAGTGTTTTAGTAATATGAAAGTGAATAATTTTTAAAATAAAACGCATGTCTTTTTAGACCCCTAAGTGAAACTTAAGGAATAAATAAATGTTGTTTTATTTGATGACCAAGTGTGCTATTTATGTGTCCATGGCTGTATGTATGTATACATATAAATGAAGACAAGGAATATAATTTACTTGTTATAGCCCAATTTCGATCTTTTTTGGTAAGGCCAATAATATTGACCATCTGGTCAAATTTGTCCCGCACTGACAGAAAGCTGAGCTATTACAAGAATGCCAATGCTTATTTTTGGAGTTCAGCAGCGTCATTCCCTAAATTGTTCGACAACTTCAACGCTGTATTCATAAGATCACATATCGTCATCAGTAATGATGCGCTTGATGAATGCAGGTTTCTCAGCTACCTTATTAAGCATCTCTTTTGCGCCCTTCACTCCACGTCGATTTATGGAAAAGTTGCAGAAAAGATGCTTTTAATAAGATTCCAGCATTGACATGATTCAACCTCTAGTTGTTTTAGTGATAAAGAAGACTCCTTAAAAAACAACTTCTGAACGGTTTCGTAGCATTGATTCCAGTGGAAATACAAAATTTCAAGCAAACTCAGTCTTCACGGCAATTCGATTGAGTTCGCAATGTGGTTAAATGGACGAGGCTAGATCAAATTCTCTAAGAAGGTATATAGTATAAAGACATGAAAATAAATCTCAAACCAATTTGGAATGAAATTCTGGAGCAAAATAATTTTTTGATGTCACTGCTATAGCCGAATCAAGCGCGTAATCAAAACCACAAAAACACACTAGAAAATCACTTAAAATGTTGAACAGGTACACTGAAATTAAACAACGTCCCTCAAGTCCTGTCAAGCTGTACGAGATGTATGACGACATTGACATAGTTCAGCGAATTAAGAGGCTTAAGTTGGGTAGATTATATCCCCGGAATGGATGAAAACATTCCAGCTCTGAGAGTAATCGGCGCAGTACCCGCCGGGGAAAGCAAAGAAAGAAGAAGATCTCCATTGAAAAGACCACGTGGAGCAGGAATCTTGAAATCTCTAATTAGCGCTAAACAGCGAAAAGGAAGAACAACCGCTTCCTTAAGCAAGCGAGGTTAAATACCTTGGCATTTACCAATATATGGGTTTGCCATGAAAGCCCCACATTTCTGCAAAACGACTGCATCTTAAACTTAAAACCGGCAGCCTATGTTGGTTATTGAGCAAAAATTCAAATCTAGGGTTGGACCATAAAGTCTTGCTATATAATTCATTCATTAACCCAATATGAATACATGCGATGAATGGAATACAATTATGTTGCTTTGTACGCGTAACTACTTAATATCCCTAAAGTTCATAGAGATCTTGAAATACCTATAGTAAACACAAAAGAGGCAAACCTCGCAAAAATACCTTTCAAAACTCCAAAATCATCCTAATGCCCTAGCAAAAATCTTATCCTACCCAGATAGCTGTACACGTCTTCAGAGGATCTGTCACTATAAGGAAGTCCAGAGTTGTAACTATTAATGCACTAAAGCAGCAATTCATTAGTTATTAACGCTTCAAAACGTATCATTAGGTTTAAATTATGTTAGCAGTTTCCATAACAAAGAAAACTTCTTGCTTGAAAGACACTTGCTTTAAGCAAGCTTAGTTTCAAGAAAACAAAAAAGAAGTTTCTAATATAGAATGATATAGTTCTGATACATACAACAGGTTTGTTATCAAAATTTGTGAAAACAAAATTTTATATTCAAAAGCTTTAATTCCCTAATTGACGTTCTCTTAGCCAAACAATATCAAATCGATGATGAAGAGGATTTGCCTTTTGAGAGAAACACAATTGCCGCATCTAGTTACCGCAGTCTGTAAAATTCCTACTTATCTAGACTTGTGCCAACGAAGTGTCGACAAGTGTTGACGATACAACGAACACCCTTTGGACTATGGGCCGAATTTATCGAAAGTTCTCCTTTTCTGCACCTTTCTTACTTTTACAGATCTCTTCTAGACTTATCTCTCGAAGTATCGTACGCAACGAATCTAATAGCTGTCAAACTATGGACCGCATCGAGAATGCTCTTTCCCTGCAACTTTCATACTTTTTCAAACCGGCCACATCTAACACCCCTTGGGCTTTGGATAAAAATTTTAATTTTATGTACCTTTTTTACCTTTACTGATGTCTCTTCGACCAATCCCATGAAGTACTGTACGCAACGTATCTAACGGTCTTCAAACTATGGACCACATTTATCTAGCTTACACGTTTCCTGCAACTTTCCTACCTGCACAGACCCTATTAATGCTACCTATCCTACAGTATGCAACGCATCTACCGCCTTTCGGACCATGGTCCGATTTTTTTGTTTCATTCCCCTTTTCCATCTATCCAAACTTCTTCTGCAACTATCCAACGAATCATAAAGTCATTGGTATAGAATATTTTTACGAATATACCGTGGAACTGCTGGTAGTTTTACGAAATACACATATATTAAAAAGAAAAAATAATTTTTTTCTAATGAAATACTAAATTGTGATATAACTAATATATTGGAATAAGTTAAATATACGATAATTTACAAATTTCTTCAACTTACTTTCGTACACTCCACAGTCCCCCGAAATGTGATCGTCGCACTGATCGCACCACTATGCTGCTGGTCGCCGTACTGATACTCTTTCTGGTCACCGAATTCCCGCAAGGCATACTGGGTCTGCTGTCGGGTGTGTTGGAGAAATGTTTCTTCTTCGTTTGCTATCCACCATTCGGTGAAATGATGGATTTGCTGGCGCTCATCAATGCCGCTGTCGGCTTCGTGCTCTACGGACTGATGTCAAAACAATTTCGCACAACATTCAAATCGTTATTCTTCAAAAAGAATTTCGGCAGCATGGAAATGACACGACTGACGCGGGTCACCACGACGTGTGTTTGACTCCGGTGTGGAGGGTCACCTTAACTGCTTTAAATGCTGCAAACGCTGCAAGGACTGTGTCGATTGTTAAGCGGCTTACAACATACATATGTATGGACATACAAACATATGTATGTATGGATTAAAAACTGGGCGGTTTTGTCGACGACGGACTCTAATGCGTGTTCGGTTGCATTTTTATATGCATGTGTGCGTGTGCTTATTTGTATATATGTATATGTCAGCAAGATCATGTATATATGTATTCTTAGTGCGCATTAGCGGTTACTTAACAATTCGTAATTTTAGTTCGCAACGAATTTACAGTTATGTCCAATATTATATGCATATGTATTTGTGTACATAAGTAGCTGCATATATGTATTATATGACAGTAGCAGTTTGTATTTGTAGCGCGGTGCTCAGCACTTTTGTATTTATGTATTTTTTACAGCAAACCGCTAGAGTTAAGGTGTTCCTCCTGCGGGAAAATAAAAATGTTAATTCAACAGTTAGTTAGCTAAGTGTACGTATATGTATGTACATCTTAAGTGTGAGTGAGTGTTGGTTTATGGAGTATTTTATTCGCTCCTTTATTAAGACTGTTTGTTAATGGTTGATGAAAGTTAAATGTGTTTTTATATTTTAGCTTGTTAAGTTTTATAGTGAATTAAGCTAGATTTTTTATAGATTTACTAATTTAATGTTAATAATTAAGAAGACCTAAGTGTTAATGTCTGATTTATACGAGAAATTCATTAAAAATATGAAATATTACGAAAATAAATAAATAAATAATATTTGAAATTAAACATTTCACCAAGCACAGCATTGGAAACATGCAAAATACCCGTTAATTAAAAAATTTGTGAACTAAATAGTTTATGTTTATTGGGGTGACTATTATTACCAAAATTATTTTTTTTTACAAACGGCCGCTGAAGTTTCAGTTTCTGTCCTAAAAACAGCATCCAACCAGCTACTTATTTGCAAAGTAAACCTAACTCATACAGCCAGAGACATTTGACTAAACGCAAAAAAAAAAGTTAAATTAAATTTTTGAAAATGTTTCTATTAATCCCAAACCGAACGCACAGCCCTGGGAAAGCATGGTTTGCCTGCTCACTTTAGCTCGCCTTCAAAYGGATGATGTTTGGCTACCCACAGGATACTTGGTCTAAGTCTGGAAGCCATGAGCTGCTTGAGCCATATGTAAAATAATCATTTCTGAACACTCTCAAGAGAATGGCGCTTAGAAAACTTTTCATACTTGCGTGAACTTCTACACATGGCTCCATCCTCTCTCATCTGAGGCTCTGGTGTTCTTTCTAAACATTGGCAAGCATGTCGTATCAGCATATTGAACTGAGAATTGGCGGATCTGAGACAGTTGTCCGAAATTTATTTAAAAACCGTGAAATTTATGGCAAGGCACCCAAGCCACAGGGTGATAAAAAGTTGAGCTATCGTGGTAAAGTCTCAATTCTTAACGAGGCCACCGAAAACAGGCTGACATCTGCCCAACTAAAAGAAAAATTATGTCTTCCTGTGACCAAATGACACATTGCGCGTATTTTAAGAGAAACTGGAAATATAAAAAGGAAGAAAACAGTCGGTCGACCAAGCTTCTCGAAGAGGGTCGGCATTTGCTCAAAAGTATATGCATCGAAAGATGGAGTGGGATTACGCCATATTTTCGAACGAGAAGAAATTCAATATTGTTGGTGCTGATGATTTGAGCTTCTCTTGGCAAGAAAATGGCAAAAAAAAAAAAACCCGGCCAAAGAATAAGGCACAACTTTGTAGGGGGTTCTCTAATGGTATGGGGTGCACTTACGTACATTTATAAGCTGTCGCTGTGCTTCATGACTACAAAAATGAACTCCAAATAGTATACAGCATTGCTGGACGATGTGCTTATTACATTTATGGGAAACAAAACTAGACAAATTTTTTCAACAGACAATGCCGCCATACATGTCTCCAAGAAAGCAATGGAGTGGTTTCAAGGCAAAGAAAAATAAATATTTATTGTACTGGCCTGCATGAAATACAGATTGCAATCCCATTGAAAATTATTGGCATACTGGTTTCAAATATATATCCGAATTTTTTTTTCAAATTAAAACGGGTTTCGAGCTTAAAGAACGAATAAAAGACTTTTGGATGGATATTGAACTTGATGTCCTTAGAAAATTGATTAGAGATTTTTCAAACTCCCTACATCCAAAGGCAGTGTAATTATTTATTAAACTACTTACTATTCACAAAAAAAAAACATTTCCACTATTATTCCTTACAAAAAGTCATATGCATTTAATCAAATGTCTAAGTATAAAATTTAATTAAATTATTTAAAAAAAAAATTGGGATTTAATTAAAAATATGTTCGAAATGATTACTTAATTAGTGCTGAGTGCTACTGCAAGAAAATATCTCTTTTCCCATGTAATTTTTTGATCATTTGGAACAAATTTTTTTTTTACCAATACAAATAAACCTAGAACTTTGAAATTTTTTTATTAAAATACAAAATTTTCCGTTGTTATATTTTTCATAAAAACATACCTTTAGAAGTTTAAAGTTATATATCATCCCTTGTACATATATGAATTAATGTAGTACACCATGCCGTATGAGCAACACAGAATGCATAAATCACTTGTATGAATGCTCAATACATTTGATGTGTAACTTTAACCGCGTTTAACTTTTAAAGAATTGCGTTCATGAAAAAATCACCGACAACTTCTTTGTAAGCGAAACATTTAAAATTACAATATCATTATTTCAAAATTGAAGACTTCTTTGCGAAATATGAAAAAATTCCACAATATGGACATGGAATACCTGGAAAAAGGAAAGAAAAAGGAATATGCTTGTTTGCATTGGTTGCTTCATTTTAAAGCATAAACTAAAATTTCAGAGGACGTCTGGATAAACAAATCAGCTTGGGCAATAATGAACACCCTAATATACATACATATTAATATAAGCTTTTGAGCTAGTGAATTTCATCAATACGAAGTGCCATTCATTTAAAAATGAGAAAACAAAAATCATATTTGTATACATAAAAAGTATTTCTAAGCTAACTACATACTGAATATTATATACATATGTATATATTAGTTTATTAAACAAAAAATGATAAGCTCAAATAATTTTACGAAAAATATTAACGGTAAAATTATTGATATGTGTAAGTAATTATAATAATTAACTAATATATAATTATATAAAATAATTAATTAATAAATAATTATATAAAATAAAGAGAAATAGTTGTATAAAAATGCATAAAATTTTTATTCATTTATAAAGTGTTAAATAAGAGTAGCTTTTAAGCTTGTAAAAACCATAATAACTAAAAAACTTGATTTTGTAATACTAAACCTGTATATGC